AACTTACTGTTTACCAAGAAAACATTATATTATTACTTTTCTTTTTGAAGGCATGAGAGAAGATTCTTAAGCTTGTTATTTCATTGAAAAGAGCTACTAAATGTAACCTGTTCCAGATCTGGTCTGGGCTATTTATTGATACCCACTTTCCCTGGCAAGAGGCAGTACTATGTATAATAATAGAGGTTAATCTTCAATTTATCATGTTTCTCTGCAAAGTACAACATAGTTTTTTCTTTAAGTCCTTTTTTGTTTGAAGTGGTTAGATGGTTTAATATTATAAATGAAAGCATATTGAGAAGTTAATTAAATAGAGTTGAATAAGTAGTAAGAGAGATGTGAGAGGACTAGAATTTATGTTTCTAGCTTTTGTGTCTTATGGTAAGCCATGATTTCTCCAAAACAGGTGTTCTGTTTTGTTTTATTTTGGTTTTTGCTAAACAGCTAACTTCTCGAATGAGTCATTTCTTGTCTGGAACAACTTCCAACTGACAGGAATGCTCTGGTAAGAAAGTGATCTGGAGTAGTGGCAGACCAGTATTCTAGAGAAGAAATGAAACATAGAAAGTAAACTTTAGCCATAGTAGCCAGTAGATCTTTATTTAAGAGAGGCATTACATGTTTTCCTTTAAATTATGAATGATATATTTCAACTGCTTTAGTTTAGCCTCTTATTATAGTGGATTTCTTCATTATTGTAGTAGAATGATCTGGTATGAGTTTTGTTTCCCAGAGTCTTGCTTTTTTTCAAGTGTTATTGAACGGGTAAATTTTGCCATGTCTGTTACTATACTGTTTTAGATTGTAATTTAAAAATTATTATTTGTGTGTTAGTAATTTATATGTGTGGGTCTTTATTCGCGTGCAGTCTATGAAGACTAGAAAAGATTTTGAACTTTGGAATTGGACTTTATACTTTTTTTTTTTTTTGAAGTGGAGGTACTAGGGACTGAACCCAGGACCTCCTGCATGCTAGGCATAAACTCTACCACTGAGCTATACCCTCCCCTCCCCTATACCTTTTTATTTAGAGTCCGCGCATGTTATTAACTTCTTGGAACCTTAATTTTCTCATCTTTGCTATAATTAATAATGACCATTACATAGATTTATTTTAAGGAGTAAATGAGTTAGACTCTGTGTTGTCTTGCACATAGTAGGTACACAATGAAAGTCAACTCTTGTTCTTTGGTAAGATTTTTAAAGAGTTACTTTCTTTGGGTTTTCTTTCTTTCTTTCCTTTCTCCCCACCCTGCCTGCCACCCCTCTCTTCAGGTTTTCTAATAGTCTCCAAGGAAGAGTAAGAGATATCAAAGAGAACTGTGTGACCTTTAGACTACTGAAGAAAAAGGAATTTATTTGATACAGAGGGAGGCAGATTAAAAAATTCCTCAAATTTTTTTTTAATGTTTGCTTGACTACTCTGTTAAATAGTATGACTTGTCAGGGTGCCATTATGTGTTAGGAATATGCTTTATTGGAAGTAGGAGTTTTAGGAACAGTTTGTTTGTTTGTTTAATTTACTTTTTTATTTTAATGGAGGTACTGGGGATTGAACCCAGGACCTTATTCTGCATGCTAAGCATGTACTCTACCACTGAACTATACCCTCCCCCAGTTTGTTTTGATGTGAGAAACTTAGTAACATAAAGATGACTCAGAGGAAGTGTCTACCATGTTGCTAGCAAAGTCCCTCCACCCTCCTGCCATTTTTTCCATTCTAAGCATTTATTATATATTGAGCCTGTCTGATGTTATGCTGTTGACTATCACTCTTCAAGAGAGGATTAATTTTATCTATCTAGAGTAAAATCATCATAATTTCTAATATTTTAAGTTTGGAGTACTTAATATTTTAAATTTTGGAAGTAATTTCTTCTGTGTGTTTGACTGTAAATCTCTTATGCATATTTAGCTCTCTTTGTCCTTGTTAAAACAAGCTAATGTCAGTGTACAAAGCACTGCTTATAGAAATGCAAATGTGTCTAGTGAGCTGTGAAGAGATATTTCAGGGGTAACAAAGTCTATGAAAATAGTTTAAATTAGTAATAACAGTATGTTACAAAGTTCTTCCAAAGTTTAGGTAGATAAGAGTTCCACATATCTAGTTGTTTTTTTGGCTTTTCTTCTGGTAACTGTAGCACTCAGTGCAAAAAAATTGGGAAAACCAAGAAGTTCAAAGAAAAAAAATCAAGATTATCCTAATCTTGCCATCCAAGGAAAATCACTTTTAACTTTTTAATGTAGTCACTGTTGTATTTTTCCCTCTGTGTGTCTGTGTGTGTATTTACAAAATGATTTTACAAAAATTATATAATGTTTAAGAGTTTTGCTTTTTTTTTTTAAAGAAAATTCCTGACAGTATTTTCATAGGACTGTTGTGTTTGATAGAAGAGAAACTGTAAAAATCTTGATGGGTAGAGTATTTGTAAGCTTTTCAGGTTAGTTAAGAGTGGGGATCGGATTGATTGAAGAAGTAATTACAGAATTTAATTTTACCTGCAGTGTTTAGAATGGCTTTAATATCAGGAGGGGCTTCTTCATCTGATTCTAATTGTTCCTGTGATGACTACCTTAGGAGCTCTTAAAAGAATTTCCTCCAGTGTATTGTAATTCCTCTTTGAGAACAGTCACAGAAGACTTAAGGGGAAAGAGGAGATGGAGACTTTTCTAAATGAATAGGATAGAATCAGCCAGACACACACAGTTTAAGTAAATATATTGGTTCTAACAATGGTGGGATCCTAGTATGCCAAAATTTAGAAGGAACCTCAGGCCCTTTCCAACTCTTAAACACCAATTTGACAGACAAGGAACTTACTTGACTTATCAAAACTTGTGTGACTAATTAGTATAGGGGACTTAAGTAATGTGGCAATTGTTTACTCTTTAAAAATGTGAGATGTATTACTTGCCTAATTTTCTCTATTTTTGCTTTGTATTTTTCATGCCTGCAGTTTGCCTGTCTTCCTCAGTTTTCTACTCATCTCAGTGTATTCCTATCTTTTATGTTTTCTTTCTCTCTCCTCTTCAGTTAACCATTATGTATAATTAATGTTTTAAAATAAGTATATATTAAATAATTTAATCTTTTCTGTTTAAGATTTTAAAAAAGGATTAAGTTTTATGTGCCTTTCTCAAGTGTAATAAAATTTAACTTCTGTGTTTTATTTCTGTATAATTCTAAATTTACAATTAATAGTTTTACTATCATCTTATCATTTCTATTAATAGGAGCCCCACAATATTTTATCTGGGAAAAAAAAAAGGATTTCAACTCTTGTAATGAGAAAAGAACATTGGCCAGAGAAGGCTGGATGGGGCAGGAATTGTCAGAAAAGCCCATGGGAAAGTAGATTATTTGATAGAAACAGTCTCGCTAAAATAAGTTGTGAATATACTTGTTCCCCTTAATTTAACAATTAAAATATAAATGCTAATTCATGAGTGCTAATTTAAGAAGGAGAGAAGAATATTAGAACTTTCTTTTTGCCATAATTTTTAAAAGTCCCACAGGCAAATTAAAAAAAGAAACTAGATGAGTTTATGGGATGGAGGTTTTCAGTTAAAGCTATCTGAAAAGACTTGAAAATGGTTACAGTTGAGCTTCTGCATTACCCAGAAAAGAAAGAGATTAGAGAAGCTTCTGTAAATTACAATCTCTGGCAAGTATACAAGTCACAAAGAATATACAGTTTTACTTATAAATTCTTTGGAAAAGTATTTGCTTTCAGTGACTAAATGAAGCAAAAGGGAATCCTTTGTTCAGATTGAAATCAGAGTCAAATGACAGAATTTACAGTAAAAGTAACTCTCTAAATTATAATCTGTTTGGGCTCATGTAAGGGAAAACCCTAGTTTAAAAAGTAAGGAAATTTTATTTTATCATTTAACAAGAAGTCCAGCAGTAAGATAGATTTCATTGCTAGTTAATTCAGTGATCCAGTTTCTGTATCTCTGTCTGCCCTGTGATCATCACAGAGTTGACTTTATTCTCATACCTCT